CGATGACTGGGGTGGGGATGCTTCCATCTGCGGCTCGGCGTGCCAGTCAGTGTTGGGGATTCTGGTCATTTCTTCTGGCACTGCTTCGGCCCCGTTTCCGCCCTTGCTCCCCTCCTGGGGGCCCTCGTCACATGCGTGTTGGGTGTGTCGGGCTTCGTCATGCATGGCTCTTGCACTCTGTCCTGTCCTTCCCACCGTCTCCTTTCCAGTTTGGGCTTGAGGGGCCTTGTCTTCCGGGCCCCGCCGCGGCCGTCGGGTGAGCGGGACGGAAGATCGGAGAGACGGAGCAGGTGCCCTGGAGCTGATCCCGGCCGGCCGAGCGCTCCTTCCTTCACGGTGTCGTGGCGGCTGCGGGCCTTGCCAGGACCTCCCAGGCGCCGCCAGGCAGAAGCGGGGAGGGCACCGAGGTGACAGGACACTTGGAGGGGACAAAACGCGAAGCAACAGGAAGAAATAAGGGGGACGTGGGGAGGCGATTGTGAAATAGGGTCTAGAAAACAGATGTGAGGGCAAGACAGTGGGGCAGGAGCCAGGAGCAGCCGGAAGGGACCCTGGGGAAGCCTTCCATTTTTAGAAGGTAAAATGTTAAGGAACTGTGAGTCCCAGATAAATACTTGCTTTAAAAAACAGTTCGTGAGGCTTCATCGGGTTTGTTAAGACTAAGGTAATGGGGCACACACTTGGCTCAGTCGGTGGAGTAGGTGACTCCTGAACTCGGGGTCGTGAGTTCGACCCCCACATTGGGTGCAGAGGAAAAAAAAAAAAGTCTTGAGGTATGGAAAAGGGTCAAGGGCACCGTGGGACTCGTGTGTCCATTTGTCCCTCATATGCTTCAGTTGCCACGTGATTCCCCTTGTCCACACGTGTTTCTGCTATTGGTTGCAGGACTCTCTTGCCGTTAGAACACTGGGCCACGTGTTAGTCAGAAAACAGCATACTGAAAAAAGAGAGGTGTGGCCACGAAAGAGTGTCCTGTCTGTTGGAAGAGAAGGTCGCTTGGGCAGAAGACCAAAGCGATGGCTGCTATGGTTCTGACACATGGGGACGCGGGCCCGGCGCGCTCTGGAGAGTGAGCTCCTGTGTCCCCTCCTGCTGGTGAACAAACACACGTTGGGGGAACAGGCATATTTGGTTGTTTTCTGATTTTGTTAAGTAAGCACGTTTAAAACAAAAGACACTCCCACCAACTGTTTTCACTTTATCTTTTTTTAAAGGAGATTTTAATAATGTACAAAGGACATGCTCCCAAGAGGAAGGGTAGAAGGCAGAGTGAGAAGTTTGGTGATAGACAGGGGGGTCCTGTGGCCTGGGCCAGGAGCCGTGCAGAACCGTCCCACAGTGCCCACTCAGCGGGGGTTATGGGCCGGGGTTTCTGCTTTTCGGGAGGTGCGTTACCAGGGGTGCGTGTGTCTGTCTTGCCCCTCAGGAGCTCTGTGAGGACGGCGAGGGCACTTACTGTCATCTCCAGTTCTGATGACAAGTGGGGCCACAGCGCCTGGGTCCCTGGGGCCACGTGCGCATTCGTAACGTTGCAGGGACCTGAGCAGGGGAGGCCCCGCTGCGCGCACGGTGATCTGAGCCCGGGGACCTGTGACCAGCCCCTGCGTCCACGGCCAGGCCGGTGCTGGGCATGGGGGGGAGGCAGCTCCTGACAGCCTGGGGGCACCCTGTCCAGGGACTCCGCTCCTTCCTGCCACCCACCCCGGGCCAGGCAGGGTGGAGGGCGCAAGTGATGGCGGAGAGGGCAGCCGGGACTCCCGAGGGTTCAGGGTCCCCTTGGAGCCCCTGCCTCCTCCACGCGTAGCTTTGTCTTCTAAGATCAGAAGGACCGTTAGGGTTACAAAAGCGAGGCTCAGAGCAGCCCGGCACACGGTCTGTTGTCCGCAGACCCCTCTGCCTGCAGCCCCTGCACAGGAACCCCTGCGAGCCGGCTCTGTGAACACACCCGGGGCTGCTGGTGGGTGAAGCCAGAGCCCCAAGGAACGTTTGCTTCCTCTTCCTGCTCGGGGCACCCTCACCAGGCTGTTGGCTGGAGGGTGTTTTGTTTTTCCTTTTCTTAACCTCTGATGGCTGTCTGGACAGCGGCCCGGTGGCCCCGATGACCTCTGGAGGGACCTGGCGGGGACAGGCCCAGACTGGGGGCCTGGGAAGCCGGCCCAGCGCTCTCCCGTCTCTGGGGAGGACCCTGCCATCCTCCCCCACGCTTGACGGCAGAACCTCTGTTCACGACAGAACCGCCAGCAACTGTCTTGGAAGGCCTGGCGCCTGCTTGCAGGCGAGGACGGAGGCCCCTGTCGCCAACGCGGGGCCGAGAGCAGTTCTGCAGCTGCCTGTGGCCGTGTGGGCCGGAGCACGACGGGGGGCGGGGGCGGGGACTGAGGTCAGGGGTGACGCAGGCTGTGAGCTGGCTTAGCGGGGCTCCGGGCGTCCAATGTGGAGGGGCTGCCCTCCCCCGTTTGCCTCCGCCCGGTTCTGGGGGACTGAAGAGCCTGGCCGGCCTTGTGCCTCCCGGTCGGTGCGGCTCCGGGCATCGCCTGAGCCCGGGTGGGGGTGCGGGGGGGCCGGTTTATTCTTGGTTCGCTGGAGCAGGAGCTCCTGAGGCCAAGGTCAGGGCCGCGGCAGCACCTCCGGCCGGCGTGGGGCAAGTCTAAGGCCGTCTTTGTGGAACGTGCTCTGGCCCTGCCCAGCGGTGGAGAGATGGCCGCCAAGAGTTTGACCGGGTGTGGGGGAGGGGGGGCACCCCTGCAAGCACTGGCCAGGCTGGTTAACCTTTGAAGACATCTGCCTCTTTTGTGGGCTTGACTTTGGACTTGATCTCGGCAGAGAAAAATCTAGATGCAGAGAGACCTTGGTGAAAGTCACTATAGTTTGAAGGTTAACCTTGCTTGTTATTTCCTTTGCGGAGTCGGATAATGTGTTGGGAGGGGTGAGGTGGGCGGGCAGCAGGAGAGTTAATGTTTAATTGGCACCCTGGCTGCCCTCGGCTCTGTGCCCAGTGCCGTCCGGAGCTGGTTGGCGGGAAAACAGGCCCTAGCGCCCGTGTCCTGGCACCAGGACATCCTGAGAGGGCCCAGGGGGCTGTTCGCGGGTGACTGGCTTCTTCCCGTGGCCTCCAGAGCGTGGCCCGTCCTGTCCGGCCCGGACTCTGGAGTTTGCGAGCTCTGTACAAAAGCAAAACAAAACCCTGGAACACCTCTAGCAATTTTCGTCTGTAAGAGCACTTGTGGAAATGACCATATGTTGGCTGTTTTACGTCAAATAACATAGAGGACGCACGTTCACTTCACATGCTTCTTTTTGCCTTTTGTAAGGTGGCTACTAGAAAATTTAAATTTTTTTGTTAAGGTTTATGCATTTTTCAGAGACAGAGACAGAGCATGAGCAGGGGAGGGGCAGAGAGAGAGGGAGACAGAGTCCCAAGCAGGCTCCAGGCTCCGAGCCGTCAGCGCAGAGCCCGACGCGGGGCTCGAACTCACGGACGGAGAGACCGTGACCCGAGCCGAAGTCGGACGCTCAACTGACTGAGCCACCGAGGCACCCCAGAAAATTTAACATTAGACACGTGGCTGGCATTGTATTTCTCGGGACGGCACCGGTCTAGCCGTTTCGAACGGGAGAAGTGAGCGTGGCGAACACCGGAGCGTTGCTGGCGCCTGGCCCTGCCGGGAGTGCCCGCTCTTGGTGGACTGGTGAGTCCCGGCCATGACCTGGGGGGCAGGAGCCCTGCTTCTGGCTGGCGGAAGGAGGCTGCCCACCGGCCTGCCGGTGGGGAAGATGTGTGTCGCCAGAGCACGTTGTAGGGTTGGGTTACCTTCTTTTGATTTAAATGAGTTCGAGCCCTGCATCGGGCTCTGTGCTGACGGCTCAGAGCCTGGAGCCTGTTTCAGATTCTGCGTCTCCCTCTCTCTGACCCTCCCCTGTTCATGCTCTGTCTCTCCCTGTCTCAAAAATAAATAAAACGTTAAAAAAAAATTAAAAAAAATTGTTTACGTCTGCACTTAACTGTTTCTCGTTAAATAAAATTTTCAGTAGAATAACATTTTTCGTAACACGAATACGTAATCGTTGTAGAAGCTCGGAGAACGCAGATGTTTCTGCTGGGTTCCTGGCTCACTAAACCACCCACTGGGCGTGGGGGCTGCTGCCCCACGGTCTCCCAGCCCCACGGGTCTCAGGGCCTGTCCGGTGTTGTCCCTGGGTTTCTGCTGTCCCTTCCGCGGGGTCAGTGGGCTCAGGCGTGTCGTCTTTCTCTCTGCTAATGTGCGCCCCCACCTCAGCCCTGGCCCGCCCCTGGGCTTTCTGTGTGGCCTCAGTGGCACCTATTGGGTTCCGTGGGCCTTTCTTGGACGGTCGGGATCAGGCACTTCTGGTCTCTGGACAAAAGACGTATTAATGAACTTTGTGGATGATTCTGAAACATTTTTAGATTAGAAATCATCTGGTCCCCCGTTGTCCTCAGACCACCATCTGCACCTGCCGGGCCCGCGGTCCCGTGAGTCTCCACGGCTCAGATTAGGGACACTTTGCCTTTGCAGACGCTCTGACGCCCACCGACGGCTGCTTCATATCACTGCAGGGAGGGCTTTCCTTCCAGTTGCGAGAGTTCTAGAGAACTGCGACGCCGGGTCACGCTGGAGTGAGCGGCCACGTTCCAAGGGGTGCCCCGTGTGGCCAGGATGTCCTCGGCCCACGGACCGTTCCTGGCGCGTATTCCGTTCGTGCCAGAAACCCTTCCTGCTTCGGCGTTTTCTTAGGGTCTGTGCGCGGGGAGCCTGCAGACTAGCAAGGGTGATGGGGGTCCAGCTGGATGGAGCTTCCTTGAGCCAAACCTCTGAAAATAGCAGATGTGTGTCTCCTACCTTTTTTCTCCCTTTTTGCATCGTCTGGCGGTCAGCGAGGGTCGGAGCGGAGGCGGGTGACCGTGGGGCTGCTCTGGGCCTCGTGGACGGAAGGGCGGTGGGTGGCCCCCGTGCCAGCACCCAGCGCCCTTCTCCTTGCAGGTCTGGCCGTGGGTCTAGGCTTCGGGGCGCTGGCCGAGGTGGCCAAGAAGAGCCTCCGCCCAGGGGACCCTCCAGGTGAGCTGGGACCTTGGCCGGGAGGGCAGGGTGGGCCCCGGGAGGTGGGCCTGTCAGCCCCCAGCTGCCCCCCCCCCCCCCCCCCCCCCGTGCCTGGAAAATTGGCCTCCAGGGATGCCTCATGTCCTGGGTTCTGTGTCAATGGTGGCCGAGGTTGTGTCTCTGCACCTGCCCGGCCCTCCCAGACTCTGTGGGGCCGTTGGCGCCCAGTGGTCTGGCCAGGTCAGGCACCCAGGGCTCCCCATTTGGCTGTGGGTGAGGGACGTCGGTGCTGGAGGAACAGACCCCTCAGGGCCCTTGGTCCCCCCCCCCCCCCCCCCCCCCCCCCAGAGACCCGAAGTGGCCTCTTCTCTGGCCTGAGACCCTCTGTCTCACGATTCCTCTGTGAGGTCAGTGAGGCCAGGTCACCACGCGCATTGCCCCCGGTCTGGATGGCCTCTCTCCACCCGCAAGACCCCTTGTGGGGACAAGGGCCTCCTGGGGAGAGGGCACTGGCCTGCCCCCACGGGCCCCTGAGAGCGGGGTGCACGGGACACACGGAGTGTCCTTGGAAGGGGCCGGAGGACGGAGGGCTTAGCGAGGGTATTTTTAGTGTCGGTGCTGAGACACTTTAGGAAAAGCCCGGCTTTCTCTGGAACGAGAAGCCCGTGTTCTCCAGGCGCGAAGCCCGTCCCGCTGGAAACCGGCTGCTCTCATCCCACCTCGTCCAAGCAGAGAAGAGGCGACCCTCGCCAGGGAAGTGGTGACCCTGGCTGAGGGTCGGGGGCGCTCGCCGGGCTCGGGCCACGGTGGGCCCGGGCCAGACCTGTGGCCCGGAGGGTGCTGACCGGCGGGGCCCGGTCCTCCCCCTGGAGGGCCTCTCCTGAGTGGGGGCCACACCTGCCATGGCCTGGCTTCCCCAGGCTGCCGTCAGAGCGAGCCCTGCCCGGGCAGGAGTGCAGACTGTGGGGAGGGCTGCTGAGAGGCCCGAGAGGGCCCCGCACGGTCCCCACGTCTCGGGAGCCCTACTGTGTGCCGGGAGGGCACGTTCGCCTGCTGCCCACTGGGGCCGCGGCCCTTTCCCCAGCGCGCTTCCTCCCGCCGTGCCCGGGGGCCGGGGAGGGCAGAGGGCATGTAGAGGGGCCGCCCTTCCCTCCGCGCTGGCCCTCCGCTGCTGCCCAGGGCAGGGGGTGATCTGGGGGCCCTTCTCGGCCCTTCTCGGCCTTCTGGGGGCAGGTCTTGCCGTCTGGGGCCCCGGGAGTGAGCCTCGTGCAGCCGACCTCGGGTGCCAGCCGATTCGTGGGTTCTCTCTGGGGCTTCTCGTCTGCAAACTCTGTGTCCCGGGCCCTCGGTCCCCATGTCCCCCCACCCCCAGGCTGTCAGAGGCCAGGCTGGACACGGCCCCCAGGGCAGCGGTGTGCCGGCCGCCTCTCCTGTTCCCTCTTCGGGCCGCGCCGGGCCGGGCCCCTGGCGGTGCGGGCCGAGGAAAGTGCCAGGCACCGTGGGTGCGGCCTTGGGGGCAGATCTGAGCAGGCTCGCGGGGCACCGGGCAGGGAGAGCAGCAGATGACCCGGGACTGGAGGAGCTGGGGGTGGGGGCGGCAGGTGCCGAGCCAGCCCCCTGCCCGGGCCTCTCCCCGCCTCGGGACCGGCGCAGACTCGGTGTCCAGGCAGGGCTGTGCCGAGGTTGGGGCGAGGGCTCTGAGGTCGGAGCGCCCCGCCGTCCCTCGGCCTCCCCGTGGCCCGAATCCTCGCCCTGCACCCTACGCCCCTGGTCGTTCCGGACAAAGGTGGTCTTCACCCCCAGGGTTACCGCCCGTCGGGGGCCTCTGTGGCCAGAGGGGGAGGTAGATACCGGCCAGCCGTGTGCCGTCCTGGACCTTGCCCTCCTCTCCCTGGGGGGCTGTGCCCTCGCTGCAGCCAGCCCGCCTCACAGTGACCCCAGGGGTGCTGTAACCTTCATGGAGGGAGGGACAGTGACTAGTCCTCCTCGCCTGGGTCCCCAGGTCCTCCCTCCTGGTGCCTGGCCCCCCCACCCCATTCCCATCCCTGCACTCGACTGTGCTCTTCAGCGGTGCTCGTGTCGGGCCCCGGGGACTGGTACGGAGGGAGGGGCTTAGCGTGTGTGCGGTGTGCGGGTGTGAGTGCATTGTGTGAGTGTGCACACGCATGTGTGCGCACGTGTGCGTGAGTGCGGATGTGTGGTGTGTGCCTGTGCGAGTGCGCGCGTTCATGTGCGTGCACACGTGCGTGTCTGGTGCGTGTGTGCGAGCACACGTGCATGTGCGTGCACATGGGTGTGCCAGTGTGTACGAGTGTGCACGTGCGCGTCTGGTGCGTGCATGTGTGTGCGTGCCTGGTGTGTGCACGTGTGCGTGTGTGTGCATGTGCGCGTGTGTGTTGAGAGGGGGCTGGGGTCAGGCCTGGGGAAGCTTCCACAGCATCGGGCAGGGGGTACCAAGGGTTGGGTTGAAATCGCGGTGCCGGTGTCGGGGACCCGCCAGGAGGACGGAGGCCCCGCGTCGGGCTCTGTGCCGGGTCTCTCCGCGCCGCTCTTGAAAGTCTCCGCGTCCTGAAGCGTCCCGTCCCTGTTTTCACCGGGAGGATGGAGATGTCCCTGAGGCGTCGGGCC